CTGTCACCAGCACAGTAAGAAAGCTATTCGGCTGCTGGTAACCAGGGAGAGCACACGGACCACCAGACATTGCATTTAGAAGGCCTGACAGGATGTCAGAGATGCACAAATGTAACCGTAGAAACGCTGGTGCCACTCTAAACAGAACAGTGCTGGCCAGGTGCCGAGGAAGGGCAGAGGTGGGGGAGCTGGGGCACTAGACTGTGGAGGTGAATACAGATTCTGTCCCCATTGGGGAGCGCTGTGAGGCTGGGAGGACTACCCAGGTGCAGGGATGTGTTTGTGACTTTCTCAGAGGGAGTTGAAATGGCTCCTGCCACCTGCTTAGCAGCCGCAGGCTTTGGGGCTTTTCTGCTGAAGGTCACAGTCCAACCCTTCCAGCCCTGATCCTGTTTATAAGAAAGACGGAGACAAGTGGAGTTTCCCATTTTGGAGCATGTCATTCAACACACACCAGTCATAAAGGAGGGAGGGGATATTCCGGAAGTCTGCTCTAGCAGAATGTGCACGCCAACTCTGGCCCAGCCTCACTGCTGAGGCACACGTATTCTGCTCTTTACAATTCCCAGAAGCAGCATTCCCGGAGGAACGTTGGCTCCTAGTAGTCAGGTGACTTGCCCAACTTTGACAGCTGCTCTTACACCCCCTGCCCTTAAGCCACCACACTACACCATCTGCATTATCTCATCTACACCTGCATTATTCCTCACATTTATTCATTTACTCTGTGTGTGTGTGTGTGTGTGTGTGTGTGTGTGTGTGTGTGTGTGTGTGTGTGTCCGTGTCTGGCGCGTGTGCACATACCACAGCATGCATGCGGAGGTCAGGGGACATCTTGTGGGTATTGATTTTTTTTCTCCCATTATCTTAGTTCTGGGAATCAAACTCAGGTTTGTAGGGCATAGTGGTTAGAGCCTTTCTGTCCTGAGCCATCTCACATCTGTATCTGCATCTGGGAAGCTTGGCCCTCTACCCCATAACTGCTAAGCAAGCTCTCTTTGGCTCTGTTTCCTGTTTCACCATTATCCCGACAGTGTACATCTTTTGTTTGTTTATTTTTGAGACAGTGTCCTTCTATATAGACCAGGCTATTCTTGACTCCACCTCATGACCTTCAGCACTGGGAATATAGGCATGAATCCCCACACTCAAATCCCAGGGCCTTTTACCTGTGTGTGTGTGTGTGTGTGTGTGTGTGTGTGTGTGTGTGTGTGTGTATGTGTGTGTGTGTGTGTGTTGTTATGTGTTTTGTGTGTGTGTTGTGTTTTGTGTGTGTTGTGTGTTGTGTGTTGTGTGTTGTGTGTGTGTGTGTGTGTGTGTGTGTGTCCGTGTCAGCTGCACAGACTCCTCTTTGTCAGCCGCTATCCCTCTAGTTTCTGATGACTCAGGACACGTGACAGTCACCCTGTATCTGCCCTCTCCTGTGCCATCCCTCTCCACATAGAAAGGCTATCATAAGAGTTTTCCATGAGACAGTCTAGCGGAAAGCCGTCCATAACCTGTGGCATTCACATGCAGACACTGTTAAAGAATGAGACAGGTACTTCTCAGGATCTCCCCCAACAGAGTACTTTTGGTTCCTACAAGCAGTCCTCTTGCGATCTGTCAAGTGGCAGCCTGAGAGCCCAGATTAGCTCTAGTCTGTGTTTCCTAAAGATAAGAAACCCTGAATGTGTTGAATGTGTGGCCTCCATCTAAGAATGTTTTTACATTTCCTTTTCAAATAAGTATCTGCTGATAATTCAATATTGCCGGGGTGGCATGAACCTGTAATCCTAGAATTTACACCAGGAAGAAGACATAGGAGGGTCAGGAATTCCAGGTCCTATTTGGCTGTATAGCTATTTCCAGGCCAGTCTGGACTATGTCTCAAAAAACGTACACAAGATGGCTTAGCAGTTAATAGCACCAGCTGCTCTTCCAGAGGACCTGGGTTTGATTCCCAGCACCCACATGATGATTCACAACCATATGTAAATCCAGTTCCAGGGGACCCAACACCCTCTTCCAGCCTCCTCAGGTGCCAGACACACAGATGGGGCTCAAACACACATGCAGGGAAATACACATAAATAAACAAACAACAACAACAAAGCCACAGATAACCAATATCGCCTATCAACACAAGAAGATACCTATATAAAATCAAAGAAAAAAGAAAACATGCAGATGGCTACAGGATAGATGTAATTTAAAAAGAAATGCATAGTAACCACTCAAGCAAACCAACAGCGCTAAGGTTGGTTCCTCAGAGGCCGCTTCACGTGCTGGCCAGCCTGACGCTGGATCAAATGTCATCAAGAATTTCATTTTACTTTGTGCATATTGGTCATCATTGGCTTGAATATTTTTCAAAAAAACAGGTTCATCTTCCCACAGCTGGCAGATGAATTTGAGATGGGTCAGAAAACAGTTGCTAACTTATTCAAGTAGCTAGATAGTTTCAGAACAGCTGAGGACATTTGAATATTTCTCTTTCCGACTCAGAATTCAAATGTCTGACTCACAACGCAAGCAGCATGGGTGGCAGCGGAGGACATGTATGTGTGTGTGTGTGTGTGTGTGTGTGTGTGTGTGTGTGTGTGTGTGTGTATGTGTGTGTGTCTACCATCCTCTGTGACAGTGGGGGATGTGTGTGTGTGTGTGTGTGTGTGTGTGTGTGTGTGTGTGTCTACTGTCCTCTGTGACAGTGGGGGATGTGTGTGTGTGTATGTCTACTGTCCTCTGTGACAGTGGGGGATGTGTGTGTGTGTAGGGATGTGTGTGTGTTTGTGTGTTTGTGTGTGTGTGTGTCTACCATCCTCTGTGACAGTGGGGGATGTGAGTGTGTGTGTGTGTGTGTGTGTGTCTACCATCCTCTGTGACAGTGGGGGATGTGTGTGTGTGTGTGTGTGTGTGTGTGTGTGTGTCTACCATCCTCTGTGACAGTGGGGGATGTGTGTGTGTGTGTGTGTGTGTGTGTGTGTGTGTCTACCATCCTCTGTGACAGTGGGGGATGTGTGTGTGTGTGTGTCTACCATCCTCTGTGACAGTGGGGGATGTGTGTGTGTGTGTGTCTACCATCCTCTGTGACAGTGGGGGATGTGTGTGTGTGTGTGTGTGTGTGTGTGTGTGTGTGTGTGTCTACCATCCTCTGTGACAGTGGGGGATGTGTGTGTGTGTGTGTGTGTCTACTGTCCTCTGTGACAGTGGGGGATGTGTGTGTGTTTGTGAGGTGTTAGGGTGTGTGTTTGTGTGTGTGTGTGTGTGTGTTTGTGTGTGTGTGTGTGTGTTTGTGTGTGTGTGTGTGTGTGTGTGTGTGTGTGTGTGTGTAGCTGCTGTCCTCCCTTGTTGCTCTCCCAACTCTACCTGCTGGGCAGAACATTTTGAAAACGTAAACTAACTGCCCTCTTTGCCCAAAGTTTGATTTTAACAGGTTTTTGAGAAAGACCTTCACATAGGAACTGTTCTTAAGTAACACCCCCATAGGTGTCCCTTCTCTGGAGAGGACAAGTACAAACATCTGTGGGTTTAATGAATCCTTAAGAGTAGGTCAGTGGAAGATGGAAGTGTCCACATGTCATCCAGACATGAAAAAAAAGCACTCAAACTGGGGGCACAGCCTTTAGTAACATTGGAACCAACTGTCCCTGGGCTAGGCTAGAGGATAACTCCCAGTGGGGAGGCAGCAATGGAGCTGTGGGATGAGTTCCAGCAGCTGACTCTCCTCAACAGACGCTACAAGGGAGCCATTGTGGAAGGGGGCACCAAGTCTTACTGGCTCATAAAACTGCGGGTTGTAATATCGATTTCATCAAAAGACAGATATGTGTCCAATGGGTCAGTGCTCTGAGCATGGATGGGGTCTAAGGCAGACACAACTTACACCAAACTGAGCACACCTGCCTATCCATGCCTCGACACAGCAGCTCTGGTCACAAAAGAACCTTCTTCCAAGCCCCCAGCAATAACAACACGTAAACTTCCTGATTTAAAGCATGGTTTTTGGTGCCTTCAGAAACGCTCAAACCCAGTGAGCCCACAAAGCATGAGACAATAAAATATCCAACAACATTGCTTTTCTCAAATGAGGCAATTCCTCAAACGTCTCAGCCACTTCCTTAGACCGACAGTGGAAAAGGCACAGGAATTCACAACAAGCCCAGGCGGAGCCCCGTCACCTTTACGTCTGCTTACTCCTCCACAAGGACTCTCTATAAAAGGAAGGTACATACTGCTAAAATAAGAAGCTTGCTGAGCAAAAGCTGCTGTCTGTAAGTGGTGAGGTAAATGAGCCTTACATTTTCCGTTCCATGTTTCTAGATAAAGCAGGTTTATAAATAGCCTGACATTTGTAATTTGACAATTGTCTTCTCGCATTATTTTTAGTAAACTCTCATATGCCGTGGGCTGACACACAAACATTGTAAATACCCCAATTTCAAAAAGTAGAGTGGATCTGAGCATGACAGAGCACACCATTAATCCCGGCACTCTGGAGCCAGAGGCAGATCGATTTCTGCGTGTTTGAAGCCAGCCTGGTCTACAGAGAATTTTAGGCCAGTCAGGGCTACACAGTGAGACCCTGTCTCAGAAACAAAACCAAACCAACTAAAGTGTGTGTGTGTGTGTGTGTGTGTGTGTGTGTGTGTATGTATATATATATATATATATGTATATATATATATCTCCATACATATACACATATGTTAGGTACACATTATAATTTTAAAAATAATTTTCATGTGTTTAATATTGATACACCCTCTTGCACACAAGGCCAGTTGTCTGCCACTGAGCTCCCACCACGGTCTGTTTCATTTTAAAAGGAAGAACTGCCAAAGACACCTTCAGCAAAGCCAAGGAAAGCTAATGGTCTTATCATGTTCCTAGCAGGAGGCAGAGATCCCTGGGAATCCCTCAGCACTGTTTCCTAAACTTTCTGCTGGATAACCCAGCAGCTGGGATCCAGGAAAGTGGCAGAGGTTCTGTCCCAGCCTGGGGTGAACCGTGCTACTTACATGGCAGGTCCTAGTCTTCTGCTCTGAGTCTGGGCAGTGCTTTTAGCTTGCAGGTTCTGTTCTGAGATTCCTCTAGTTCAGGCAGTAGAGACTCAGCTCTTCCACAGGCCCCATCCTGATCCTTCACCTGCGTCCCTTAGGCACAGGTCAGGCTGGGCTTCAGCAGCATGGAGGGCACTGAGCACTTAGGCACAGGAAACTGGAAATGTGCTTTTCTTCTCAGGGAAGTGATAAGCCTGAGAAGAACTTCTGCAATTCTGTTTGCATGGGCACAGCACACCCAGCTCCTTCCACCCCAGAGTGTCCTGAGAAGCAAGTTAGGGCTTTCTGTGCTCCCCTCTTTCATCGGCAGGCTGTTAACACCGCCTCCTCCTCTGTGCCCCTGCACTTCCTCCACACAGCTCACAGCCAGCCTCCTGGGACAACTAACAGTTCCTCTTTTTTTTTTTTTTGTTCCTCCTCCATTTTTACTTCACGTTTTAAGGACATCTGAGCAATTTCCCCCGAATTTAAATGTTGCCAAGGCCTCCCTGGCCCTGGCTCGGTGTCCCCCGGCCCTGGCCTATCTTTGTGGCGCCCTTCTTGGTGACAGCATCTTGCAGCTGCTTAATGTTATCTACTTGCTTCTGGCTGAAGTCAATTTTTTAAAAAGTAAAGGAGACAGAGACAGAGACACCCCAAGACCCGAACTACAAGCTTTCAGTGACATTTCAATCAAGAGTCACTCTGAGAAACTGTGGCGAGCTCAAACTTTAGAGATCACAGGGAAAAGTGAAAGCATGTAGAAGCACAGGCTTTTAAGTAACCCTGCAGCTCACTCAGGCTGTCACAGACGAGCACGTGGTTTCCTATCTGACTCGAGCATGGCCAGCTCCCCACAAGCTCAGCACGGAGCACCTGTTGCACACTTGGAGGATGCTCTACATTGAGAGCAGGGTGACAGGCGCAGACCATGGGCGTTCGGGGAGACAAGTCTTTGTTTTAGGACCTTCCTCTTTCTCCTTTGGACTGTCAATCATAGGAGGCACAGGTAGCATTAGCACAGGAAGTCCCTCCCCCACCACAGCTGGAAACACACTGGATATTCCCACTGTGAACTCTTTGATGTCTTATCTTCCACCACAAACCTCCCCATGTCCTTGTCATTCTGCATCCAGCACCCATTCTCCGCTAGCCAGCAAGACCAATACTGTGGCGTACCGATGATGATTCAGTCTACCAGAAACAACCTTAACCTGCCAGGATGATCAGCTTGGGGAAGAGCACAAAGTAGCGGGAAGCCAGCATCAGTTTCCAGACCCCCTGATGGCATCTCCGAGGTTCATGTGCAGTTAGAACCCCACTGTGTGCCTGCATAGATCAGAAGACAGGCACACAGGCTTTTGGCATCACACTCGAAGCATTCCTCAGAGCTGCCACATCGCCACCCACAATCACTTATGGTCAGTTAGTAACGGCACGAAAGCAAGAACCGTGAATGGTTTGTGCTTAAATCTGCGCTCCTAAATATTTATAGTCATAATTATTAAAAGAGCTAATGCTCTTTTCAGACAGGATCTCATACAGCCCGGGCTGGTCTCCAATTCCCTATGAAGCTGAGAACTTCTGATCCTTCTGCCTCTACCTCCTTAGAGCTGAGATTAGATGTATACACCACATGCCTAATTTATTCAGGACTAGGAACTGAACTTGAAATCAGGGCCTTGTCATGCTCAGTTGGCATGCTGCCAGCTGAGCTGTGTCTCTAGTTCAAGGTCTATGTTATTTATGTTTGTGTGTATGGTATTGTTAACTACAGCATGTACAGTACTGTTAGGTACTGTGTATGGTATTGTTAACCATGGCGTGTATGGTACTGTTAGGTACTGTGTATGGTATTGTTAACTACAGTGTGTACAGTACTGTTAGGTACTGTGCATAGTATTGTTAACTACAGCGTGTACGGTACTGTTAGGCACTGTGTATGGTATTGCTAACCACGGCGTGTATGGTACTGTTAGGCACTGTGTATGGTATTGTTAACTACAGTGTGTACAGTACTGTTAGGTACTGTACATAGTATTGCTAACGACAGCGTGTACGGTACTGTTAGGCACTGTGTATGGTATTGTTAACTACAGTGTGTACAGTACTGTTAGGTACTGTGCATAGTATTGTTAACTACAGCGTGTATGGTACTGTTAGGCACTGTGTATGGTATTGTTAACCACGGCGTGTATGGTACTGTTAGGTACTGTGCATAGTATTGTTAACTACAGCGTGTACAGTACTGTTAGGCACTGTGTATGGTATTGCTAACCACGGCGTGTACGGTACGGTTAGGCACTGTGTATGGTATTGTTTTTTTTTTTTTTTTTTTTTTTTTGGTTTTTCGAGACAGGGTTTCTCTGTGTAGCTTTGCGCCTTTTCCTGGAACTCACTTGGTAGCCCAGGCTGGCCTCGAACTCACAGAGATCCGCCTGGCTCTGCCTCCCGAGTGCTGGGATTAAAGGCGTGCGCCACCACCGCCCGGCTATGTGTATGGTATTGTTAACTACAGTGTGTACAGTACTGTTAGGTACTGTGCATAGTATTGCTAACTACAGCGTGTACGGTACTGTTAGGCACTGTGTATGGTATTGCTAACCACGGCGTGTACGGTACGGTTAGGCAGAGTGTGGAAAGCATTGTCAAATACAATGTGTGGTACTGTTGACTCCGGTACAATGTGATGCAGCAGGCGACAGGGGTTACTTGTCATGCAGGATCAAGACTTTACACCTGTTGAGAAGTAACTCTTCCTCTTCCCCTCAGCCTACAGCCACTGCCGTCTGCTCTCTGCTTCTGCAGGCTTTAACTATTTCAGGTACCTCACGTAAGTAGGGTCTGGAGGTCACCGTCCTCCATGACTAATGGCTTACTTAGCCTAACATCCTCTGGGTTCAACTACACTGTCCTACATGGTAGAAGTCCCTTAAGGTTGAATAATATTGTTTCATATCTCATGTGATCAGTTTATCTATGAATGGACACTAGGCTAGTTCCTTTTCTTGGCCATTGGACACCTCATTGTCTCCATTTATTCACACCTTGCAGACATCTGGGCTGTTTCTGCATCTTGCTTGTTATGAGACGCAGCAGTAAACTTGTGTCACTTACTTTTCTCGAGGCTGTGGCAAAAATCCTGTTAAAAAGCAACTTGAGGGAGGGAAGGTTCACTTGGGCTCACATCTGAGAACAGTCCTTGCTGGCGGTGAAGCCACGGGAGGAGGTGGTTGAGGCAGCCATCACGTCACATCCACACGGGGAGCAGAGAGAGGTGAATGCTGGTGCTCAGCTCACTTTCTCTTTATTGGCCTGGGACCCCAGGCTGGGAAATGGGACTGTTCACATTTAGGGTGTGCTTTTCTGCTTCAAACTCATCACAGTAACGCCTCACAGACACAAGCGGAGCTTCTCTCTGCCGACTCTAATCCTGCCACGTTGACAATTTAACCATCAGAACAAGAGGGCGGCGGGGCGCGGTGTTGCAGTTCCCTGGCAATCACCTGAGTCTACACTTTCTGGGGCTAATATTATATGCACAATTTCAGGATCATATGGTAGTTTGCTGCAAGTCGCAAAAATATATGAAGTAGGATTTCAGCTGATTATGACAAGCTAATACCCAGAAGCAGCCAAGGGCCTTCCAGAGGTCAAGCTGAGGCTCAAGGAGCCTTGGTGATATTGGCTTTTGATTATTAGTCGTTCCCTGCTATGAATTTCTCGTGTGCTACTGTAGCTTTTCCATCATTCTTTGGGCACAGTTTCCCCTCTACTAAGGAATATTTAGATAGTCTTCTGAGCAGTAACACAGCCAGGATCCCTTTCAAGCCTTTCTGTAATTATTGTCATTAGCAGCATCAGGCCAGGCCCATCCCCAGATGGACAAAATATCTTATCAGAGATACCTCTGTACTCTCCAAGAACAGACTTAAGCATCAGATTATCTGTTTGAGAAGGCCTGGTGGATGTGCTAATTAAGCTTAACCTTCTCCTTTCCAAAGTCTTATCTCTAGTTTTAGATCCACCCTTAACAATTAACTCAGAACTAAAGGGTTCCTACCTACAGGTACATCTAGCTGTGATGGAAGATGCCTAGTCAAGTTGCCTAGTGCCGGAGCACACTTGCCAGAAATGGCAGGAGCAGAGATAGCTTGGAGAGATAGGGGTCAAGGGATAAAAGGCACTTTTATTTTCAGAGAAGGATGAGTCAGAGAAGAGAAAAGAGAATGGAAGAACTAGATGGGTAAGAACTGGAGAGGAACAAACTGAGAGTAGGAAGAACTAGATTGAAGGGCTAAAAGAGAGACTAGAGGAATGAGATGGAAGATGAGGAAGAACCAGATGAGAAAGGAGGAGATGGGAGAGGAGCTAAGATGGGAAAGAACTAAATGGATGAGAACCTAGATAGGGCAGAACTAGATGAAGGAACTAAGATAGAACTTAGAGGGAACAGCAGAAAAATGTAGAGAGAATCAGGCAAGAAAAGAGCTAGTATGAGAGCAGAAAAGAAGCTGTGTAGAGCCGGGCGGTGGTGGTGGTGGCGCACGCCTTTAATCCCAGGACTCGGGAGGCAGAGGCAGATGGATCTTTGTGAGTTTGAGGCCAGCCTGGTCTACGGAGTGAGATCCAGGAAAGGTGCAAAGCTACACAGAGAAACCCTGTCTCAAAAAAAAAACAAAAACAAAAACAAAATAAACAAAAAAAAAGATGTGTAGAGCGAGAACTGACTCAGAAGAATAAAGTGTATGGACTAAAGAGTATCATGTATGTAGATTCATTTCATATCATCAAAGATTAAATTATCAGCTGATTGTAGATTCTTCCTGGACCCTGGGAGGGGACTATGGAGGGGCAGGAACCCCATAGTCCCCATTAGTAGTTCTACTTTGTATGTCTTATGATGCCTCCATATTACTTTGCATAATGGTGGCCCCATTTTATACCCTCACCAATAACTGTTGATAATTCCAATTTCTCTACCTTAAACTTTGTATTTTTTCATGATAGCTATCCCAAATACATTAAACAATTTCCTAGATGACCGGTCATGTGGTCCCTTCACACGGCTGGGGGCCATTTGTATGTCTTCCTTGGAGAAATGTCTTTTCATTCTTTCCCATTTTATAAAAGATTATCTTTTAATTATGCTTCTGTGTGAGGGGGAAGGTTGTGCACCTGAGTGTACAGTACAAATCAGAAAAGGCATCAGATCACCTGGAGCAGGAGTTACAGGTGGTTGTGAGCCCGGTGCTGGGAACTGAACCCAGGTCTTCTGTGAGACCAATAACTGCTCTTAGCCACTGGGCCATCTCCAGACCCTCTTTCCTAT